CCTCCCTCGTTCAAACTCCGTAAGTTGCTTGAATTTCTTATTCTTCCGTCGTGGAGGCATACTCAGGTCTCACTAAACGTTTGCCACTAACAAATAATCATAGACTATTTTCAACGTCCCGCTACAGCACTTTATTTATACGCTTTCAGCATCAATTCAGAGGGCGCTGCGCGCGCCACGCACGCGCGATGGCTCTGAAACTTTATTAATTTGCATAATATCCTATAATTGACATTTGCTGCGAATTTCATTTGATTCTGATGATTCCTTCATGGTGTTGCATTTTCTACAAACAGCAGTTTATATATATATATATATATATATATGAAAAATGCGCATTATCTTTTATGTGCCTTAATTTGTTCATTCTTCTTACTCAGTTACGTATTAAACTATTATTTATCAAAAATAAAACTACACCAAAACCTCATTCAGGATTAAAAATGGAGAGAAGAAATGAAGAAAAAAATTCTATTTACCTTGAGGAGCTACATCTAATTATGAAAAATAAAGACATATACATGGTGACTAAATATTTGTAATGAGTCTCCCAATTGTAAAACGTACTAAATGTAATTTAGGAAAACTATGTTAAATAAATATATTATATCTAGATATCTCCCTCAAATTTAAGAACTTGAATTGTAGTTTTCCACAGCAATCTTTATCAAATTAAAAATTTGAATTTAAGGTGTCTGCTCAACATTATTTCACATGTTTCATCAAGTTTATAGTTGCGTCAAGGCCGGAGAAATAAAATTAATTAACATGGTTAACAATAATAATAATACATCAGGATGTTAATGCATTGACATATTAAAGTATAATCATAATTATGAAAAATGAATTGGAATCCCTCACAATTGGAATAATTCGGAATTTAATTTCAAGAATTAAGATTATTCAGAAATGATTTTTTTTTCTCTTAAATATTTTTCTTTTCTTTACGTGTAATAGTATTTTTTTAATGTTAAGGAAAAAGTAACTTTCTAAATACAAATTCAACACTATTACGAGTTCATTATGCATGAGTTGTCTTTAAAATATGAATTGTTATGTGCATGTTTAATTCGATTATTATCTAGAAATTAAATTCAAAACTATTTCAAACAGTCAAGAAAATTATTATAAATTAATTATATTCCGCCTTTGATATTTAATAATTGAATTCTTTTATAAAACTCTTCCATGCAATTAATTTTTGTCACTGTTTAAAAAAATTCTCTATTTTCTGAATTTTGTTTAATCAAATTTTAATATAAGGGAATATTATACGAACTATATTTCGTGAAATATCTTAATTATTAAGGTAATAAGTTCATTAGAAAAATATTAAGGAAACACGTATAAGCGAAAATAAACGACAAATATCTTATATGCTTTACTTACTTCCTATTTCATCCCCTATGAAATATTAAAAAAGTAATTATCTTCTTATCCTTCAGATAAATTAGTTCATATTAAATTATACAACGATGTATTACTTTTGGGGGGAATTTTTGTGTAAAATACGAAACTGAGCAACAAAAGAAATAATACTTTTAAGATAAAAAAATATTCAGATGTATGATAAATATTGGCAGGGCATCATTTCGATAAATAATATCTCAAAATTTAAGAATTAAATATTTTTAGATGAGCAAAATGGTCTTTTGGTAACGGTCTGGAAAACATCCCTCAGTCTGCGAGAAAAACATGCAATCATAATTTTAATCCTTTGAGAGTGGATGACTTCTCCGCTTTGGTAGTCCGATGACCTCAGCGAAGTCGAGTGTTTTACGGTAAAACAGCTTAATGACCACCGATACCGTAAATCCTCAGTCCCTACGCAGGCTGATCAAAGTTGTCGGTCACCCGCTTACTGATCACAGATAATGATATTTGACTACGGTGTTCTACTGGGAACCGTGTTGTTATGGTCAGTTTACTGCAGGATTTTTTTCATAAAGAAACGGAGAAAATATCTACATTATAATTGACACCAATGATGCGTAATTAATTTTGATAATTGGTACTTATTTAAGGAAAAATAATAAATTATGTATTATTGGTTGCATCAATACTGAGCAGTTTTATAATAGATAGTCTAGAAAGAAATTTTTATGGCAGCTCGAAATTGATAGTTACTTGAGAAAGTTGCCGAAATTTCGTTTATCATAAGTTGGGCTCGAGAAAAATTGTACTGAAAATATTAATTCCTTATTTTGATGGAATGAACTACTAAAGGCGAGTTTTACGCAATTTGATAGTGTAAAGTCACCGAGAAGAACATTGAATGAAAATAAATGAAAAAATGAGATTATTTAAGCTTTAATACTTGAATTGATCTTTAAGTTTCGAAATATTATAATGACATTTAGCGCTGATTTATTGATTATTTAGTTTTTTTAACATCTTAAGAAAAGCTAGAAATTCAGCTGGTACTGTTGCGGCATACTGATACACCATTGGAACACGGCAAAATAACTGGAAGCATCCAATTAACAGTAACATTTGTGGTAAAGGACATTTTTTACCTTCGTAGTTTTGAAACCGTTTGCAACCAATACGGTTAAAAAATCAGGAATATAAAACTATACGGTTTTTTAACCATTTAAAACAAGCTGGTTTTCAAAACCTCAAAAAGGAATTCAACTGAACATTGGAACTAGGTTTTTCATTTGATAACGGGCATTGAAGTTCGGTTGTGGGTGAGGTCTGTTTCACCAAATAAACAGTGGAATGTGATGTAATTAGTTTATCTGTTTGTTTCACCTAGCAGGAGATGTTAAATAATTTCTGTCTTAAGAAGCTTTATGTTGGTGCCATCTATACTTAAATGGGAGTATTATATCTTAATAGTCCAGGGTCACGAATTGGAGAGTGCAAGACACTGGAAACTCCTTATGTTTAGAAAAGAATGAAGAAAATGTTGTGCTGAGAGTCGAATCCCCGTTCTGTGAGTCATGACATTGACAGAATAGCCCTCTTGACTATAATATGTACCAGCAGCAAGGAACTAAGTGGCTTCATTAGGGGGGGGGGAGCTAGTTCTTTAAAATCTTGGTTGTTTAGCACTATTTCTGGAAAATTAATAAACGGGTTTTCTAGCAGTTAAGAATTTGAACATCATCTTACCTATGGTTATTTGCATGTTAAGATTTTATATGTTAAAAACAATTAAATAAATAATTATTTCATTCTTCCGAAAATTTTCTAACAGTGTATTTATATTTGTTGCATGGTGCATAGAAATCTTAGCGTATTGTATTTTCCCAACTATAACACTACCTGCTTTAACAAATTATAGCAGTCAACAGTCATATTTTATTTATTAAATCACGACTATGAAAATCTTTAAATAAATGCAAATGACCTACCTTGTACTAGTAAATGGCCTGAAAAGTAGCGCATAGATATTTTAAATAAAAGACAGATACTATTATCAGTATTTGTGAAATATATAAACTAATCATTCTTATTTAAATTAGTACCGTTTTGAAATTTAAGCGAGTTGCAAACAGTTCAATCTCGTGACAGGATATTTTAAACTTTTTACTTTTAATTATACTTAATTAATTTTATTATTTACTTTTAACTAATTTTATATACATGTAAAATTAATTAAAAGTAAATAATAAAAATAATTTAGTATTATTAAAAGAAAATTTAAAATATCCTGTCACGAGATTGAATTGTTATACCAAAGATTCAGCAATAGTAAATAGTAAATTTATTCTCTATTTTTCATTTCGATCACATGACTAATTAAATTTGCATTTTAATTTACATCCATAATTCTGAATTGTTTTAATGATTCTTCTAAAATTTATAAGCTAATCATTCTTATTTTAATTGACACCGTTTTAAAATTTAAACCGATTTAAAACAATTTAATCTCATGACTGGATATATTACGTAATTTTTTACTTTCAATTTCAAAAGGTTTTACTAAAATAATTTTTTCTAAAACCTTATTCGTTATGCATTTTTAATTTTTTTTCTCTAACTGAGTCTGTTTTTAAAAGTCCACTTAACACTTGGTGATGTGTTTAAAGGCAGTTTAGTTTTAATTTTAAATGTATGGTTTCAGAAAAATCATACTTTTATTTACTGAACTAAAATATTTTAAAAAGCAGCTGCTTAAATTTACACTTTATACTTTCTTGCAATATTTTCCAGTTAAGTAATTACTTAAGTAATTACTCCAGTTAAAGTAGTAAATAAATTAAAATTGGTATGAATCAAAACTGTGAATATGCGCTTTGCTGAAATAGCTAATCAGAAAATGAATGTAATTAGTAATGGGGAAAATGAGTGAACGAGAAAATGAGCAAATCAGATAATTACTGAAATAATAGCAAAGTAAATTTTTGTCTTTACAAACCTATAGCTTTTTAATTTCCTGTTTTTATTTCTTTTATTTACTCATTTTCTGCTGCCAACAGTTGCTTTACCTACATTTATATAAGGTCATACATTCGGTGTAACAAATTTTATAAGAAAATTATTAAAAAGTCATTAAAATTTAATATGTATCCCATATTTTTATTATTTTTTCAAGCGAAACTATATTTTTATTTAAGATCTTAATAATTAAAATTCATTTCTTATGCATTTTATTTTTTTCTAATATTTATGCTGAAATTCTTTGCATTAAAAGTGAAAATTATAAAATGAATTAGAACTAAGTGATATATGTTCACAAAAATGTTTACAAACACACACGAAGCTTTTTATTTATAAACATCTATCAAGAATTTTCTCAAAGGCCAATTATTGAAAGTTACAAATAAAAGTAAATAATATATTTACTTACTAGCAAATGCAGAAAAAACTGCAATTTTTAAGATCCACATTGCAACCTTTTTAAATAACGCCATTTCTAGTATCAATTCTTGCTAAGATGTGCAAAACACTTCAAACTAAAAACGCAGTATTTACAGATAGAAGTAATAACTGACAGCTGTTGGGATATTTTTGTTACAACTAAATAATTGTAAAAATAATAAATAAAACGAATATACGTCAGTTAAAATAATTGCATTTTGTCTCTATATCCCACAATGTTATTAAAAGAAACACTAGAAAGCTAGAAGGTGTAATTCCGACAACAGTCAATTTAAATTCATCTACCGACTTCCAATTTTATTTTAGGATTATTTTTGTTTATTTAATTTATTTTTTAGTTTGATTTCACATACTTAATTTTAAGTCAATATATAATCTTATAATTTATATTTAGCAGTTCTGTCACATTAAAAAAGAGCATTAAACAGGGAAACAAAAAAAATATGGAAAAACTTCTTCAGTGACTCGGTTTTTGTCATATTAAGAACTTATTATTCTTATTAATACTTATTAAGTATTATAAATTAATATAATTGTAGTATGGTATACTACATATTAATTAAAATCATTTGTTAATTCTAATTTCTTTATCTAATCATTCATCTAATTTAATAATCATTGGTTAATTGTTAATAATGTAATTATGTGACGGCTTAATGGCAATATTCAAATTTTATTTAATTGTATGGTTTTTAATTTCTTCTTTTTACACTTGTAATTAATGTTAATTATTTGTCAGTATTCAATAATTTCGTGCAATAATTTCATGTAATATTTAAGTTTTAAGCCTCAATTTATTTTGTAACATTGGGAAAGTAATCTTTCTCTGCATTTATGTTCTTCCTTTAAAAGAAGATTCCTCCATTTGTTACTTCGCTGACAGCAAGATGTATGTCCAGTCAGCAAACCCCTTTGTTGGATTGAGAAGGAGTGACCCCAAAGTCCGTTTTCCCACGTTTCGGCTTGCATCAAATGCAAAGCGCCCCTTTTGATCTTACGATGGCGCCAAGAATGTTCCAGAACATTCCACAAAATTCTTTTCCAGGTGTGTCACCACTTTTGACAACCCTGCTTCATGTTTGGCATGGAGCATAACAATTAATTTCGTCAGTTTTCCAATAATTGCAGCTCTGTGATTTGTCCCTCTGATCCTTCTCCGTCCAACCAATGCGATATTCGTAAAATTTTAATTTTTTTGGCGAGTTTTTTTCTTGCCTATCTTCATAACGAAGAAACAGTCAGTTGTTGTTTTTTCTCATATAGTGCTTGTTTGTTTTTTTTTGGCTTAGGCCGATTTTTTTCTGTGTTGGCATGTTTGCCAAGCATTTTTGTTTTTTTACAATGTTAAGTAATCAATAAACATGTTTCTCCGCATCCCTAACTATGAGTCTGGTGAGTAATTTTACTGTATAAGTTGTTTTCTCTTCCTTCCTTTTTTTCAGCATGTTCCTCAGTTGCACTGACCTGAAATTTTGAACCCACTTCCAATGTACCCCACTATCATCTTTTTCGGCCTTTACATAATTACTTTCTAAATTGCATTTAATCTTTATTTGACTTAATGTTAGTCACCCCCCTTTTTACCCATTTTTATATAGCCACACCACAATAATACTTAATTATTATTGTATTTTCATATTAAGAAATAGTTAATTATTTTAAAAATTTAGAACTAATTAGGTTTTGCGGTTTCTTATGCTTATCAATAAATCTCAAAACTTTTAGAGGTTTGAGGGACCATCAATAAAATACGAACGAAAAAATAATGTTTTTGAATGCACTTTAACTACAGAAATAAAACAAACCACGAGCTTGTAACTTATATAAATTAATTTGGTTATCATATGCAATAATTGCACACATTTTTTAAATATATATTATTCGTAGAGGTATGGGCATTTTTATGAAAACCAGCCTTTTTTCCTCTTTGATTTCTTACTATAACAGCAGAAATATTTGATACAAATAAATGAATTTTGAATTCTGCTCATGCGCGAAAAACATTTGAAGAAAATTTTTAAATTCTTCTTTTGTATTTGATAACCTATAAGAAAGTCTAATTTGAATATCTTGAAAATGTAAAAAGTTTCCATCCATTTTATAAGTAGCTTTTATACTGTAGCTCTTGATTTTCCACAAATTCTATTATGTATCATATTACGAAATTCAATAAAAAATAATACCCAAAAATTATTGTACGGACTACAAAATGTGATGGTATTAGGAAAAATTACTTGAAACAAACCATAATAATAGGGGGTGGTCCTATATAATGCCGATATCAATTTTAATAAATCTTGTTTAATAGTACAAAATAAAATTAGCGTAAAATCGCTTTGCATTCAATACTTTCTTCCCTAATTTACAATAATACATAGAAAATTACTATTATTACTATATTACTATTATTACTATTATAAACAGTTTCATAAATTACGAAATTCATAAGTTATAAACTTTTTTTTTCTTTCAAAAGTTACCAAATACGAGTCAAAACAAAATTATGGAAAAAAATTAATATTCATGTGCAATTGCAATTTGAAAGCATTAAATTAAATACTCATATTTTAAGCAATATGAAACTATTTTTTTTTTTCAAATTTTAAAATGATATTTTTTGTTATTAATTTAAATTACTTTAATAATTTGTTTAATTGTATTGAATATTTCTACAATTATATAGTAAGAAAACGTAAAACAAAAAAAGTGCGTTTTTTTATAAAACTGCCCATATCTCTACTAATATTTAAGCTAAATTTGCGAAATTTTGTGTAGTTATTGCATATGATAACCAAGGTAATTTATACAAGTTACAAGCTTATTGCTGTATTGTGTGACATAAGATGCTCAAAAACACAATCGTTCTCCCATTATTTATTGCCGGCCTCTCACACCTTTGTTACGAATTTCTGCCTGACCAAAAGAGGGCGCTATAATCATTCACAATAATTCCGTAATCACTTGTGTGGCAGGCAATGGATTTAACTGGATTGCTTATTGGAAAGCCTTATTTCGTATATTCTTGTTTTATTGTTTATTAAATTTGCTTGTTATTAAATATTGTCTCTTTATTCAATGCACCCATTCGCCACTGAATCATCCTGCAAAAACCGTTTTGGTATCAGACTTGTGTCTATAACTTTAATATTAATAATTAAAGTTTAATATAAATATTAATATAAAATTTTAATTTTTCTATCTATATTATTATGTATAAAAACAAAGAAGACTAGCCAAAAAATTATCTTTATTTTTAATTTTTATATGACTATTTTTATGTTAAAATAAGGCATTTTTTTGCATGTACGCTAAACACGAATTTCAGATTTGTTAATCAGATGCTGTCGCATAATCAAGCATTTCATTACGTTTTAGATATTTATCAATTTATTATAGAGTTATCTTTAAATGGGAAACTCGATAGAAATGTAAATATTTTATTCATTCAAAAGTCGTGATGGCTCAGAGGCTAAAGGAACTGAGATGTCGTTTTGAAAAACTTACGTTTGATATTCAGTGGTACTGGCCAAATTGCAACAATTGAGCTATTGATCACAAGACTGTGGAGCTCCAAACCCCAGGATACTCTTGGCTTAAAGTGAGGTGGGGTGAGAATGTTTTATTAATATATTTTATTTATTTATTTTACATTAATTCAAAGTTATCAGAGCAATACAAAAAGAAAAGATGTTTCTTAAAGTTGAGAAAAAAATGCGCCAAAATAACTCTAAACAAATTTCGTCAATTTTGAAAATCCCATTTATTTAAGATTGAGACAACATTTGCACATTTTTCAGAAAAATGTAGTCTTATAAATCATGTAGAGGGAGAAATGTGTGTGAAATTTTTTTGGTTGCAATTCTTCTATTTCAATATGCATATATTATCTTAATTAATTAATCATCATTGGCGTAATTAAGACTCACTGGCGTCGATTTGCTACGTTTGTCCTAAACAAATTTATACCACTTTCACACTAAATTTTGTTTTTGAATACATGATTTTTTTTCAGTTCCATGAACCGTTGGTTTTAAGTAAGTAATTTTTAGAAGCACGTTTAAAAGAACTAATATAAATAAAATAAAAGCATGTGGTATCAGAAAGTGTATAAATTTGGTGACATAGACCACGCGTGCTACCATGTTATGTTAATTGAATTTATCTGACATAACGAATATATATACTTAAATATATAAATGGGTGCAATAAACCATTTTTTTATAGAATAGAGCCGTAAGATACCAATTATAACTAATGTTATCTGTGAAATATGTGAAAAACTGAATCGTTAAATATAAAACAATGGCTAACGCTTAACCAGTCAAAAATTCAATTTTGTTTTTTGCTCATCCCGCTCGAACGGTTTGCCGTAGAATGTTCTATTAATTGTCAACAGTTGTGCTTTGAACTATCTTTATACAAAATTTCATAGCTTTCGGTCTGATGGTTCAGGAGTTTATATATATATATATATATATATATATTATTAAAAGCTGG